TCTTACACTGCAGAAACTAAGCAGTTTATTGTATTTTTACTCTCAATACCTGACAACACGCTGCAGGAGAGAGCACTGTAGTCTAGATGGGACAGAAACATGTTGAACTTGTCAAACAGTTATCCATAATATACCTTTATAGATTTGTTTTATATTGACTGGCCTGGAAATCAGCTCGCCATTGCAAACATAAGTCATTTTCTTCCCTGTTTGAAGCATTAGTCAGCTATATGAAAGGAGTAGGCATACACACAAATAGCATTAATATACAGAATAGTAAACTGTGGATTTTGAAGAAGAAGTGATATCTTTAGCACATGTTATGCACCAGAGCACTGAAACTCTTAATGCAATATACTGTTTACTTAATCTTGTCATTCTGTTTCAGCATATTACAATTCTGCTGCAACTCTTTATGTACTGGAGCAATCCTTCCTCTGTTGCTCTTCGGAACCCCCCCCCCTCCCCTCCCCCCGGTTGTGACCCTATGAACTCTGCAGGGCCATACTGTATCAGTATCATTATAACCACTGCTTGTATCTGTACAGCAGAGACATGATTACATTTGTGGTGCCTGCCAAACTGTTTGCTGTAAATGGTGGAGCAAGTGTTTCCCAGAGGGTGTGTGTGTGTGTGTGTGTGTGTGTGTGTGTGTGTGTGTGTGTGTGTGTCTGTGCTGCCTGTGGGCTGTGTGCTGTTTCCTCTGACAGTTACTGATAATGAAGAGTCATGCAAATGCCCGAGGCCTGCTCCCACCCCTGGTTGGCTACTCTGTGCCTTTGTCTGGCTCTCTGATGGTAGAGTGAAGGGTGATGATAACATTTAAGATCTCGGAAAAGGTAACTGCAAGGTTTGTGTGTGTGTGTGTGTGTGTGTGTGTGTGTGTGTTGCCTGTCATCCCAATTCATGGGTACTTCATGCAGAAAATATCATAATCTACATTTTCTCTCGCTTTGTTTCCTGAAGGTAAATCCAGCTGCTTGTGTGTCAGCGCAGAGATCAGTGAGGACAAATGGAGGTGGTACGAGCAGATGTCCCGCTCGCATCATCCTTACCTGGATTAGTCACCATGGTAACCTTCCACCTGAAGGAGATCATTTATTCAGTGCAATCTGTGTGTCAGTGTGTATGTATGTTAGCATGCACATATACAAACAGTCAGAGGCGTGTGTGTGTGTGTGTGTGTGTGTGCTTGCATGCAAACACGTTTGTGTGAGTGTGTGTGCAGGTGGATTCACTGACTATTCAAATAGTTCCGACTCACACTGACCCAGAAAAAAACAAGATCTCGCTCAGCAGTGTTAACACACCTCCTGCACCACAAGCTATTTATACAAATACAAAATATTAATGTATATTATTCCTACATATTCCATCATTTATTTGCATTAAGAAGTAAAGATGAGGGTTGTATTTATCTTTTATACATTTTCTGCATATTAAATGAACTCTTTCATATCATTAATGCACCCAGTGGCATCCCAACACATCAAATCTGAAAGCAGACCTCATATGTGTGTGTGTGCCAATGCATTGCTTTTTAAAAATATGGATGTCATCCTACGAGGAAACAAGCACACTGCATTTCATTATGATTATATCCAAATGTTTGTTCAAATATGAAGCTATATTTTCAAAGGGATCACATAGATAGACAACAAAAGCTTTTTTCATAATAAAATGAGAGAGCAAAAAAACCCCAAAAAAGACAAAACATTCACCACCATGTGTGGAAATCATTAAATGGTGGAACAAGATGCAAAAACTTGAGGGATGAAGACGAGCACACCAGAACTTTTCCAGGACCAAACTCACTTAAAACTGTGAAATCTTAATGGAACAGTACGGTGCGCCTGGTACTGTGAAATGATCTAATGATTTGTGACCATTACATGACCACACAGCAACGTAATCAGGTAATGCCTCCCAGTATATTGCTGTCAGAACCATTAGACCGTCACCATCCCTAATATTTTGCATTTAACTGCCTGAGTGAAACGTAGAAGCAAATGTTTGTCCTGCTCCAAACATAAACCGATCTGGGAGGAGGAAAAGGTGAAAGATGAATCAAGATGGATCATGAGTTGAAAATCTGATCTATGATAAGGGATGAAGATAAAAATTTCCTCTAACTTTGGCAAACTCTATCCTCGCGTTAGCTGATCTTCCACACACACAAACAAACACACAGAGACAGTACAATATTTACATGTTTAACTTTCACCAACACTTGAGTTTTACACTTTCTTTGTCATCCTGGAGGTGTATCAAGTTGTCCATTTTGTGGCGGTAAAGATAGTCCACCATTATGGATTAATCTCAGGTGTAATATTAGAAGAATGAATATTAGAAGATGGTTTGTGTCTCTAACTGTGAAAAATAGAATTTAAAGGGCATAAAAGTGTCAAAATTAGCTGCTGCAGCTCATTGATCATTAGCCAAACTAATGACTACTGGCTTCTGATGCCTGAATAGAAGTGATGAAGTTATGTTGCTGTTGCCTCCGGTGCTGAGGGCAAACAGTAAGACTTGATAGCAACACAGTTTGTTCTATATTTGAAGATGGAGAAAAAGCAGATGTGTCATATGACCAGTGAGAGGAAATGAATGGGTTTTTTTTAATACAGCCAGATAGGGATTCAAAGTAGAACTGTACTAGCTTTGTACTGGACTACACTATCCCTGGCCCATGCAAATCCCCGTATTTAACAGTGAAATAAGCTCTGCAGTATGTGTGTGTGTGTGTGTGTGTGTGTGTGTGTGTACATGGTAAGGATCTACAGCTTCTTACCAGACCTGCAGAAAGCAGATGGAAGTCCTTCTTTATGCAGCCAACCACCAACCCACCCACACACACACACACACACACACATGTGGAAGAACATGTACACACACTTACATGCACACACCCAAACACAACATCTGTGTCTATATAAGCCTGTTGTTTCACCTGCCCATCACCTGCTCTGGGGGTAAGCACAGTGACACACACACACACACACACACACACAGACACACACACACACGTGTAAAGAGAAAGACAATGAATGGGTTAACAGAGGACAATGAGAAAGCTGTTCATACAAGTAAAGAGCTCACACATACCCTCAGGTGGAACCCCCACACCCCTCACCCCACCTCCCACACACACATCTCATACACACACACAGAACCAAACCAGCACACATTACTGACAAAAATAATTTCCATTCAATATAATGTAATTGTTACTATGTCTGGCAGTAGGTGCTTCCATACATATTCTATTGCTGCTGTGCTTCAAGTCAGAGCCACAGGCTGATGACTGAATGTTAAAGAGCCTGTTTTACGAGCCTCTACCACCCTGAGTGTAATAGATATCTCCGCCACTAGATGTCACCAATGATGAAGGAAAATATGTCACTAAAATACAGCGATTTCCTGCTTGACACAACACTGCGGATTTTATTGAAACACTGATGCACTGAAGAATCACAAAACGGGCACGATGAAATAATAGAAAGAACAGGCAGATATAACAGAGTCAAGATACAACAACTCTGACATGGAAAGTCTCATTTTTAAATCATTAAGAATTCAATAGTGCCCAGTTAGCAATGGAGACATAATATTTTATCAGTGCTCAATTAACATCATATGTTGTGTAATTGAGTGAGATTTTTTTTGTCCCCTAAACTGAATTATGTCATTTATTCATTATAGAAATTAAAATATATCATCACAAAGACAAGTAAACAATAGCATTAACAGAAAGTGCATAAGCACAAAGAAGAACAACATTATACATGACTGTGAGTGGGGCTTCATTCATGATATAAAACATGTCAGTGTGCTCTTTTACAGTCCTTGTTTGCTGACAGTAAAACTATTCAAAACACAATGCTGGAGCCTGGTGTGGCTCCCATAATTACAGGACTATTCATTCAGTGACCAACACTGTGCAACATACATATTATCTGTGTTGTGTGAAGCTTCAAAGGCTGTAACTATCTGTAAACCCATTGGTTGAGAAACATAATATACCGATAATTTATATGATCAAAATATCACATTGGAAATAGCAAATTGGAATTAAGCAGGAATGACTGAAACATCCTTCCTCTCTAAGAATTGATACAGTTTCTGTGATGTGTTATAAAACATACGTACATTAAGAATGTACTCCAAGCAACTCTGTTATTCACTCCTTACAAATCTCATGATTATTATTACTGAAAGCCTATAAATATTTGCTTCTTACAATAAAATACTTTTCTTTTTTATATTTTCATATTTCCAATATGAGAACTGATGGGTTACCAAGCTACGACACTTTTCTCTGGAGCATGTAATACTCCCACCAACATATTTGAGTCCTGTGACATTGTGTAGCATATCGATTATTTTGGGGATGAAGTTCAATTCTATAACCAGAACTATATGAATGAAAGCCAGAGATGCAAAAACCAGGTTTCCAAATTGATCCTGTTCAGAAAGTGCTACTACCACTGTGGCTTTTTACTATAGCACTTCATCCCACTGACTCTTTCCAGATCAACCATTGGAAAAGAAAGCTATAAGAATGCCCTCTAGATGACATGTCCTAATACTGACTGTGTGGGAAGCCTTGGGCCCTTTTCCCACCTCCAGTTTAGGATCCAGTTTACCTACACCAGAGTGAGAGAGAGGGGATCAGCTCCCAGAATGTGTCTATTATCCTGCCACACCAATCAAACTGTTGTGTCAGTGTGTTACCATTGTATAGTCCTGGGTCAGGTTGCCACAGAGCATGGCTGCCATATTGATGACTAAGTCAGTTTGGGCTCTGAGGACAATAGTGCTCTGGAGCCTCCACAAAGCGCGAGGCTAATGCTCCCCTTTCAGCCGGCCCGTTCAGCTGCTGAGTGTGCAAGGCTGCTGGGCAAATGGAGTGGCTTTGGTCCAGGGGGCCTGGCCCTATAAAAGCGCAGGCGAGGGTCCCTTCCCCGACATTGATTATACTGGATCTGTCCCACCTCAGTACTGTCTGTAAGTATATCAACACACTAGCTCAGGCTCAGCTGAGAGACTGCAATCAGGGGTCAGCTCTGTGTACTGGGGTGGAGCCTGACAGCCACCAGGATGCTGCTCAAAACTCTGCATTTGATAGATAGACTGCTATGGCTGCAATTTAAATGAGGCTGGATTTGCTAAGAGTAAAAACATGGAAGCCACCTCATACTTTTGCTTTTAGGGTAAATTGGTTTGTACCTCAGCAGCCAATTTTTACAGGGAAAGCTGGCAAGATGATGCCTTACTGGTGCGCTTGTGTTTGGCCTGTAAACATCATACAAACATAAAAAAAAAAAAAAAAAAAAAAAAAAAAAAAAAAAAAAGAAAATGAAAAATTCTGAAAGTAAGAGACTCCAGTTTAGCATTATGCTTTTAAGTTGTCGCTGTCGCTTACAGATACTGTGTATGGTTTGGTGTTGTGGCCTTTGCTTTCTGCAGAACTGCTATAGTTGAGTTACAGGTTGCTCTTAGAATAGAATCTCTTCCACTGAAACAGAGACTAATCTGTACTGTGGAGAGATGGGAAAATGATGAATGAGTAGACTTTTTCACCTCTAGTGACACCTTTGGAGGGAGACCTTAACAGAAATTTCTTTCCAGAGTAAAATGTTACAGTACAATAATAGCACATCTTTTTCTTCAAACTAAAATGCAATGGTTGTAGCTGTAAGATCATTTGGATAAACGCTAGCCTCAGCTTGTTAGAAGTCTGATTAGGATGAGGGGATCCTCAAAATATTTGTTAAAATGTTTCACTTAGTACTGTTGCCTTCTACATCTACTCTGGATATCCAGAGATTGTCATTTCCATCCATCTAACATCAAACTTTTTTTTTCTAAAACCCTCTTCCTTCTTCAGAGAATAACCCCCAAGGGAGAAGCAGCAACCATGAACACTCAACAGATGGAGCAGATGGGCCAGTTCAAGATCACAGTCTGGGAGGAGGAGAACTTCCAGGGAAAGCGCTGTGAGTTCATGCTGGAGTGCCAGAACATCATGGAGAGGGGCTTCAACAAGATCCGCTCTATCAAGGTTGAGAACGGACCGTAAGTCGACATTGTTGGTGACTTTTCTGGTTGTCTGTGTGGATCATGATCAGAAAATTTCTCCTATTCCTGTTGCCGCTTCAGTATGTGATTCATTTTACCGTGTTTGCACATATTGAAGTTTATGATGAGGACAGATTTCAGACAATCTGGTAGAATCTGGTTAGAATTTAGAAGAATGCCCTTACTGCATGAATAGTATTAGAGTAATATTGAGAGTGAGTCAGATTTTTACAGTATGTTGGTCTTCATATATTTTATCAAATACACATTATTGCTTAAAAACACAGTGGTTAACTAAGAGCCATACAACATCTAATAAAATCGCATCATTTATCTTATTTTATCTGCTTGAAAAAGTCTGATTAAAGCGACACACGACTCAAACACCAACTCTAATCAACAAGTAGAAAAAGCAAGACAACAAAAACCATAAAATACAGCCTACGGCATTATTACGTTGCCAGTTGGCATGTGTCGTTTGCGTGTGTATGTGCACGCATCCAAGTGTGACCCTGTTGTGATATGAGTTGGCTGTGTGCAGCTGCTGGCTGAGAGCCAGAGTGTCTGACTGACTGACGATCTGATAAAAAGCCCTGGGTGCAGCAGCAGCAGCAGCAGCAGCAGCAGCACCGGTAGCAGTGGAGGCAGAGCAGCAGTATCTAATGTTTGCTTTGTGCTCCCAGTGACAAAAGAAGCTGCATGCTGATTTCACTCGAGGCCATTCTGTGGGCGTTGGGCTCTATTGTTTAACAAAAATGTCAATTTCAGTATGGTTGCTGCACTGAAACTACTTTGTATTTAATGGGTCATTATAGGTTTTTGAGGTATCTGAGCTCATCTACTGTTTTAGTTTTAATGTATTTTTTCCTCTCTTGATTATTTTCTCTCTATTTTTACTTCCTCTTGGCACACTTGAACTCAACATTTCTATCCTTGTCTCTGTTCTCCAGTTGGGTGGGTTATGAGTACCCAGAGTTCCAGGGACAGCAGTTTATCCTGGAGAAGGGAGACTACCCTCGCTACGAGGCCTGGAGTGGAAACAGCAGCTACAGAACCGAGCACATGCTGTCCTTCAGACCCATCAAGTGCGCTGTAAGTTGCCTCATCCTCCAGTTCATCCTTTTTTTCTTTTTTTTTTTTTTTTACTAGTCAGCCTCTGTCAGCTGCCATACACCCCTGCCCCACCCTCCTTCACAAGACCCATCACCCATCCCTCTTGAAACCAGCCGCACTCTTTGAACCCAAACATTACTTTAGGCCAGCATGATTTACCACATTTAACTGTGGCTTTTGCTATGACCCCGATCTCCCACATCCTCCATCTAATTACATCTAAATATTTATAACAGTTACCACACCAACACCTTGCCCCAATGTTGCAGCCTCATCACAGCTTTGCTCTGTCTCTGTCTCTTTCTCTGCAGAACCACAGTGACAGCAAGGTGACCCTGTACGAGTGTGAGGACTTCCAGGGCCGTAAGTTTGAGATGTGCGATGACTACCCCTCCCTACAGGCCATGGGCTGGTGCAGCAAGGAGGTGCCTTCTATCAAAGTCAACTCAGGAGCGTAAGTTATACACCTACGTACCACCTTGTTTATTGGTCTCTATCTCTGTCTCCTGTTACATTACCACCGTTTGCTGCCTCCAGTTTCATCTCCAGGCTTCAGTTTAGTTTTGTCAAAATACATGAATTATTTTAGTCATGTTAGAATAGGTCCATCTATCCTGACTGGGTGTAATATGGAGAGGATAATAGGTGTAAAAAAAAAATCAATACATTTATATAGTCTGGACAGGCTAAACCTTCACCAACACACTGATTATTTACTGTCTGACTGTTGTAATGACTCACCTGCTCTCTCTCTGCCTGCAGCTGGGTGGCCTACCAGTTCCCTGGTTACCGTGGCTACCAGTACATCCTGGAGAGAGACAGACACCAAGGCGAGTACAGAAACTACAATGAGTACAGCACCCAGGCTCACACCAACCAGGTGCAGTCCATCCGTAGGATCCAGCACTAAGCCTTCACTCTGCCTGACCCAACCCTGAAAAAAAAAACTCTCCCCGAACCCCTTCCTCATCTTGAACCCCGGACAGACCGCTGTCACAGAACACTAGATGGACAAACCCTTTCTATCACTCTGTGGCTCTGCATGTATGGATATCTAACTACCTACTTCTACTACCATGCTAAAGCATGTTCTTGAAATAGGAAATAAAGGCTTTTCTTCAAAACTAGAGGCTGTTTGTTGGTATTCCTTTTTCTTTTTTCTTTTTTTTTTAATAATAAAATTTATCAACCCAATTAAAATAAATGAAAAATCGAAAGGTCAGAGAAACTGGCTGCAATTATTGGCTATACTGAACAATCAATTAGAACTGTCAAACTGTCAAAAGGCTTTGGTTATGATGGTAAGTCATACCACAGACAAAGCACTGCAAAGTCAGAGCCCATATTCTCTTTTAGCTCCACAAATCAGAAAGAGGTTTCGCTCTGTATTCATTTAAAGTAAATATTCAGCACACCAGTGAACATACATGGAAAGATTTGATTCTGTTAGGCTTTAGCATGTGTAATATTGTTCTTGTCAGACTGTATTCCTATTTCCAATAAACAAGAGCACAAGATCACATGCGTTTCTATTATTTGTTCTTCAGTTGTTCCAGGCAAACTTCGCCCTAAATGGCCAATAAAGTGAATCTGTATGAAAAGCACCAGATAACCTGAGGCAGCTGACAAGTCTGATACCGTGCGATTTATATTATTGACTTAAATCTGAGTGAAATAAATCATCTTTTAAAAACAGAATCCATTCAGATTGATGTTCTCTGGCTCTTGCTTGGTTTGTCTCTCTGATGTATCAAATGTTGTGTGTGTAGCCTTAACAACCAAAACAAAGCCAGGCACAGAGGTAGCTTAACTTGACTGTAAATACCTCAATGGGCTGACAAAGATGCAGGCACTCCAGCTGCTCCATGGTGTCAGCACACATGCAGCCGACCTTATTTAACCTGTTTCATTATTCTTACAGCACTTTGAAAGAGAAGAGGGAGGATCTCAGAAACAAAATGTCATCTGTGTAATGTTTTAGTTACTGATGTAAAGTAGGGCTATATGCTCTGTCCAAGGTCCTGAACCCTGTTTGAATAAGTGGCCTGTAAGATGACCCACTGTAGAGGCATATTACCTCAAATACAAATTCACAAAATGGTTTAGAAGATGCACAACACAACCATCGACCTGAACAATTCATGTCCCCAAGCCTTACACTGTAAATGCTGTATTACAACTAGACTACTAACTTCTCCTGCTTACCTGTGAAAAACCTTTCCAAGATACCAACTTTCCATGAGTTACTGAAAACAGGTGTGGTTTCACCTTTGTAACTATACATTTCTCAGATAATTCAATGGGCTTTTACATTTTTATTATTGAATGAAAAACATACAAGAATTTTTAAACCAAAAAGAAACACTTGATCCTTTAGTTAATCTAAAAGAAAAACAAAAAACAATCAAACTCACCAAATGTGGTTTTATTGGACAAAGACTCAGTGATAGAGTTCACGTCTATAATATTGTGCAGTGCATTCATTAGTTAAACCTAGATGAAAGCCAAACCGTTCTATGTTTCCCTTATAATATGTTTGCAAATCACACAGGTGGAGATGTAGAGGTAATACAGAGAAGCAGAATAGTCAGGTGTGGAGATTTCAGCTGCAACTACCCAGCATCAGAGAGAGGCCCGGATATATATATATATATATATATATATACCAGAAATGACCATGGATGTAATCTCTGACAAAAACTCTGATTTACAAATTAAAAAACCTGGCACATAACAACAATTCTTCATATGAAAAATCTAGTAGCTTAGCATTTGTTTGTTTATTCCAATGTGATACCATCATGTTTATCTTTCAGCCGCATGCCGGGATCCTGGAGTGTGTTTACCTCCACACACACTCCTCCTGTTGGTCCAGGACGTAGGATTCCGTGTTACACACCCACAAGCCTGCAATGGCTCACAGTCCCACACCCAAAAAAACAGGATCTTTTAATAAATGTGTAACTATGCACACACACCTTTCTCAAATATACATTCCTCTGCAGACTGATTAAAGAGGCTGCACTCGGGAGGGAGCAGAGGAGTGACACTTGAGTGGTGTAGTAAGTTGCAAGCTGGGGTACTTCGGCTACACAGGTCAGGTCTCCGAGGTAGGTTTGAGACTTTTACATAGGCATTTTGCAATGATTCTTTTTTTTAAATAAGGTTGTTAGGACTGATTACTCTATTTATTTTTATTGATAAGAATTACAGTAGATTTTTAAAATAGAGAAATGTGTTTACAATATGAAATGACATAATTTGGCTTGAATGTTTACATCTATCAAAGTCTATCTTAAATTTACTAACTAGTTAATAACTAAGTGGAGCACCTGCATAATGATGGTTTAAGTTTATGGATATATGCAAGACTAACATGCTGTCAGGTGGCAAAGGTTACCTATAGCCTAGGTTAGTAAGTTGAAATGATAATAAAGTTTTTTATGGAAATTAACCAAATCCTTGCTTTTCTGAAAACATTTATGTCTTGTTTCTTTGGGTTGATGGGTCTCTGGCCTCATGCTGATCACTGACTGCAGGTTACCCACTTTTAAATCCAGATTTAGCTGCCTCTCCATCAGTGGATACAGTCTAGCTTTCGAGGCTTGTTTTAAGTTGCCTGCGACTTGTACTTGGACACAGGCAGCTAAAGCAAGTCTGGGACGCCAGAGACGCACCTACAAGTCCAGTCCTGAGGAAGTGCTGCCATGTGAAGAGTGGAAAATCCAGCTTTTAGTCCAGGTGGAAGGGACATGCATGGGAAATATACTGTTTTCTGGTGAAATCTGTATTTACCAATTACGCAGGATTTTGTCTTTTGTCATATTGTTGGTGCAATCTGCTTTTACAAAGTCTGATTATGTGAAGTGGGAATTATATGTTCTAACTTTACTTTCTATAACTGACCGTTTAGTAAAATAAACAAAATAACCTGACATGTAAATATATATTACCCTGAGCTCAGTCAGCTGTACTGCATTGTTTCTTCAGTGGGTGTGCATGTTTGAGCTCAGTCAGGTGACACAGAGGAAACACCTACACTGATGATGAATGATGAGCAGAACATTCACTTTCAGTTCAGTCAATACTGACGCTGCAAGTGTGATTTGAATTTAATGGTAGATGTCAGACTTTGAGATTTTCTGCTGTGTAATGTAATGTTATAATTCCATTTCAAGACATCAACATTTGTAGTTCAGAATTATTTTAAATTAGTGTTTGTGATTTTTTTCCCCCACCTTTTCGTGTGGTTGTTTTCACTTTTCCCCAGGGAAAGAGTTGAAAGTGAACTGTGTTTAGATTCCATATCGCAGGGCTGCAAACGCCATGTGTGTTTTTTTTTTTTTTTCCTTCCATGGATAGTAGAGCTGTGTCTCTTTACGTCATGACACCTACGATGCATTTTACAGCTGGAGAAACACGATGCCGATGCTTGTATAGGTCTTTTTGAAATTATTTAATTGGCCTTTTTTTTTATATTGATTGAATCGCTTTCAATGAACATGTATAAGGAGAGACAGAAGTGTGACAACAAAAGTCCTGGAATCAAACCGGGGATATTATGGTCAGATGGCGCACATCTTAATCCACTAAGCCACCAGGACACCTCCTCCTTTAGCTATAGCCTTTATCATCCAGGTATTTTGACACATTCACAAACTACACTAATTTCGCTTTTAACCTTATATTTGTTGCTTTACTCACTTGAAGGTGTTTCAGCAATGGTAGCTGCAGTTTTCACAATAAAAGGCTTTGAAATGTAACAATAGGCCTAATTGATCACGAGGGATACTGATAGAGATCTGGTGTTGAAATGACATGTGATATAGATTCATTCATAAATAAACATTGAAATGAAATGTAATCACGGTGTTGTGCTGTATCATCAGCCAGCGTTGTCCACATTGTTTGCACCTGAATAAAATTTGAAATGTTCTGCATATCTGTGTGAATGGCAGAGACTGGTGTTTACAATGTGTCTGTTTCCCTTAAATCACCAGAATAGAACCAGTGTTAATGATAATACTGATCCTAAAAGGTGTGTATACTACATACATGCTGTAGGAAGAAAACAATACTGTGTGATCAGTCCAAACCAGGCTGTATAGCACAGGGCCATAAAGCCCATTGGCTTGGCACAATCTGGCTCTAAAAAAAAAAAAAAAAAAATAGAAGAAGAAGAAAAATATGAGTGGACATGATAACGTCAGTGAGCATCAGAAGCCATGGTTTTAAAGTTACAACCTCATTAGCCCCAGATTGAGGCTATATAACCTTAAACCCACAAACAGAAGGTTGAGGGGATGAAATGTTCTTGTTTTCTCGTGTGCACTGAAGCGTGCTTTTCAAGGTAAATGTTCTTTTCCCAACATGAAATAGGTCTTTGTTGTTTGCCCAGAGGTAAAGAGGCGGAAAAGTGAGGAGGATCTGAACTGGTTTCCATGTCAAACACTTCAATTCACCATAGAAACTCAGATCTTAACGTGGAAACTTTATTAAACTGTGATGGTGGATTGATAAGGGCCGAATTTCTATCGGCCTCTTTTTATTGTGGGCACCAGGCGGGCTGACAGAGGTAAATTGCTCTTTTAATTAAAGCAATGCACCAGGGGAAATTGCTGTCTGAATATTGTCTCAGAGATGGGGGCCAGTGACAGTTGCCTGGAAACTTCAATCTGTCCACCCGCATTTATTCCAGATCACAGTTATGAGATAAAGTTTAATAAAAATCGTTTCCTCCGCCACCAACGAAATGAAATCCAACCCTTTCTGAACAAGTGAACACAATGAGACAGGACTGCGGAGGAAACCTCATGTTCAACATGTATCTCTCAGGTTGGTCATTTTGTCCTGTAAAGACTTATAGAAACAGCCTGTTATAGTATGATTTTTTTTTTTTAAATACTGCCGGTTGTCGGTGTCCTGAGGCGGTGATGCTCCGTCTCCAGGGCAGAGCATTGTTCAGCCTTTTCAATCTGAAAGCCCGTCTGCTCTTTTGTCGGAAATCGGAAATCCTTTTTCCTGGACGCGTTTCCTGGCTCCTCGCGGAGGAGACCGCGAAGACGACATGCTTCACGCATTAGACCGCGACTGGACCGGGACACAACAGGATTTTAATCTTTTTTTTTTTTTTTACTTTTATTGAAATTTTGTGATGTTTAATATTTCACTTGCTCTGGTCAATTCTATAGGAACTTTTACACATTTTATGAAAGCTGTGCTCTACTGAGAGATTCTTTTTTATTTCTCTGAAAACAGATTTAAAGAAATTCATCTTCAGCTTGTATTTTATGTCATCATTATTCATCGTTCAATAGAAGATGTGACCGTGTTTTCTAGAAAATTCTGGACACAATAGGATTTGTTTCTCGCAGCAAAGCAATCATTAGTTCTATTTTTTGGCAGACGGTGTGAAATAGAGAGCAGGCCTGCAGCTGTTACAGAGAGCATCTTGTAATAATTTATAAACAGGGTGGACAAGGTGATGATGATGATGATGAGGATGATGATGATGATGATGATGATGACGACGATGATAACAATGTGTCTGTTTTGGTTTCAGATCCAACAGAAAACCTGTTGAAAGACAGCAAAGGAACATCATGGGGTCCAATAAACACAGGAGTACAAAAAGGTAAGAGAATGAACTCAGTGGTTCTTTCATTATCGCAGTGCAGGTCACAGTTATTTCATATTCATGAGCTTATTTTGATATGAAATAAGCTTTCCAGTTCTCCAACACAGTACATGAAAATATCAAGAATGGAATCATTAAAATTAAAAATAAAAAACTTTTAGGTAGTCCTATTTCTAATTATGTGAGAAAAACGTTTGGCCACAGTAACGAAACTGACATGAAAATAAAAATTCGAGGGATCAATAACGTTTATTATATTAACACTAAAGAAAAATCCAAATGATCAAAGCAGGATTGAATTGTGTTAAAGCAGCTCTAACTTGAGTTAACTCAAAAAACAACATATCCTATTTTCTCAATTCACAGTCATAGAGTTTGCAGCCACATTATGTTTGCTGGTGACAGACAAGAAAAAAAAACCCCAAATAAATCAATAGATCTATGATCATAGATCAAGGAAAATGCAAATAATAATAATAGTGATGAAACATTTAAATACATTAAAGAAAGTTCATCCGTCATTCATCCACAGCTCGTCACTGATTGGATTACACAGTGTTAACAGAGCTGGTGTTAGCACCTCTCAAAGACTGATGTAAAGGGAAAAATAAAGCTGTTGTCGTTTTCAAAATAAAAATATGAGTTAGTGTAAAAATATTTGACGAACTATGTTTAAAACAAAAAACGAGCATTGACTGACACTAGAGCGCCTACATGATATTTTACACCCGTGTTATGAATTAATAATTTGAAGAATACCATGATGTCTACAAACTGATGCTATAAGATGAATTAAAAAAAGGATCTCCAAGAAAAAAATGTATTTGCTTAGGATGCATTAAAATATGATATTAACATGTCATTTATAAAAATATCATTTTTAAATGATAGAAAGCAGGTAAATGCTACTTAAAATATAAACTGTACAAATTGAGTTCAAAGCATAAAAAACTATGCTGTCAGTCTAAATAATGTCTAACGGTATTAGTCTGTAATTTGTCTTGAAAAGTGACAATTTGCTGCCAATGTTAAATGTGAAATGTAGAAAATGTAAAATGTTCTGCACAAACCACAGAGACTGAATATTATTATTATCATATGGTTTCATATAAAATGTTTATTTTTCGTATCTTGCTTTGCACTGAAGGATTCGTTCATATGAACGCGTCTTTATTTGTCTCCACTCAGGCAGTGGGCAGATTCAGCTGTGGCAGTTCCTGCTGGAGCTCCTCTCTGACAGCACCAACATGTCGTGCATCGCCTGGGAGGGAACCAACGGCGAGTTCAAGCTCATCGACCCGGATGAGGTGGCCCGGCGCTGGGGGGAGCGCAAAAGCAAACCCAACATGAACTACGATAAGCTGAGCCGAGCGCTGCGCTACTACTACGACAAAAACATCATGACCAAAGTCCACGGCAAGAGATACGCCTATAAGTTTGATTTCCACGGCTTGGCGCAGGTGTGCCAGCCGTCCACCACGGAGCAGGCCATCTACAAGTTTCAGGGTAACTTCTCCCCGATTCCCTTCTCCGGGATTTCCAAACTGAACCTCGTGGCTCCCGGCGTGGGGCCGTCGGGTTTCTCCTACTGGCCTGGTTCCCCACCAGCGGCTCTGTATCACAGCCACAACCTCCAGCCTCCAGGGCCCTTTGGCACCGTGTCTCCGTCCCACATCAGCTGTGTCAACAACATCAACAGCCTGAGTAACATCAACAACCATTACAACTGACTATTAATGCGTCTTTTAGACAGACTGGGAGAATATTAACACCAAGAGTGATACAGCAATGAACGAGAGGACAGACAGGCCTATTTTGGTTAGTTTGCAGGTGAAAATACGGTTCCAGCCTCAAGCTGATTTGATTTGGTCAAAAATTAACGTTTTCAAACGACACGCAAGAATTAGCTCAACAGCACACAGCTGTTTATAAAAATGTAATTAAGACCTACAGTCATAGATGATGCTAGAACGACAGGTGTGTGTTAGAAAGACGTCTACAAACTTATACTTTGACAAAAAAATGTTTTTTCCCCCCAGTTCAAACCAACAGGCCAAGACGTCTTTACGCGAGCAAATCCTTCAATCCACTGCTGGCTGCCTATCCAATTACGCACAGTGGTTTGAACTTTTACGCGCGGTACTTCAATAATTATATTTGTCAAACTCAATAATTATATTAGTTAAATTTTAACCCATAAAAAGCCCAAATGTGGAATTTCCTAATTGCAGCCGCAACGTGTGAAATTTAATCGTATCAATAACAGTTTCCGTGTGGGAGACCTGTTTTCCAAATGAACAAATTATAGAATATTATTTAAAAAATAATGAAAAATAAATTGTTTTGTAACTGTCACTGCTCATCCTTTGCTGTTTCCCATGCCTTCATCCTTGAGTTCTGGGTGTCACATACAGATGAGTGTGTTTACACCAACCTTGGGAGCAAATTGCCAGCTATTAGTGGACTATTGGCGCCATCTCGTGGTATTATGAAATGGCCAAACGCATGCTGGACGACATCATTTTCAATTTTACTAAATATCACCGCCACCACTGTATCACCTGAGAGGTCAGTCCCCTTGAATATATATCCCTTGTTACTTTACTCCAGAAATATCCACGTCCGTTATGAAAATGCTCATTAAAAGAAAAATCCAACGTGACTCACTTGCAATAAAAAGAAAAGTACTTCAAAGGTAGAGAGTTGTTGTTTGTGTGACATAGGCTCTAACGTGAATAGTAACAGAAACTGTGAATCTTGACTCTGTAAATACTGTAGGATACAGACAGGCTCAGGCTATTGCTGCTTTTTAGTGCTTTTGAAGTGAAATACAGTGCATTCGTTCACAAATGCTCATACTGTAGCTACACCAACTGTACCAATGGAAAACAAATGAAGTGAATAAAAAAACAGACTGTTATGATCAAACCTGGCTGTTTGCTTCATCATTCAAAACACCAGCGAGCCAGTAAACGCTTTTATGTCACATCTTAACACGACAGAGCCATCCATGCTCACGGTGTTTTTGTCATGGTTCTTGTTTCCTCAAAATGTATATTTTTTTTATTAGATTTTTATTCATGATACAGTCTTTGAACGATAATGATAAAGAGTGATTATGGGATGGGATAGGAAGTGAGTGTTGGCATGTGACCCTGCTGATCCTGATTCCCCAGTAGAAGCCACATCATTCACCTACAATGACAATCAGATATAAAGGTGTAGCTGCCCTAACAGAGAGTTTCAGTGAATCTCTTCTATTTATCTACAAAATGAGACAACCATCTATCTCACATTTAACAGATTTCAGATGAATTTCATCCTGATGCCATGCAGATGTGACCTAAGGTTGAAGAAAAGGATATTTATTGATTTAGCAGTGGCATGGCTGAGGAAAGTAACAAGTTACAACTGGATGCAGTTATTGTGAGCGGGTAAAATGAAAAATAAAATTCTCATTCATTGCCGGCTACTTGTCTGTTAGGCTTAAGGTCTATAAAAGAAAGTGTTGTCACTTCCACTTGACTGGAGCAACACTTCACCAATATGACAGAATGGAACAGCAAACCAGTAGTATAGTAGTAAGTAGCAACTTCATATTCAGTGCATCACATGGGGATTTTTTTTCAGGAGGCATTACTGTTATCATGTAAGCTATATTGCACTTTTTATGGAGTAGTTTGCTCTTGCTTAAGCTGATAGAGCATAGAGCTGTTTTATATTGTGACACTAATCTTGTAAGCCACACGGGGGCACCATAACTCTTCCAACATCAGAACACGGCTTACATAACTAAGTGATAACAGAGTTGGTCTAATATAGAACATAGAGGCAGCTGCAAATAGCAGATTAACCCCAAATCTCATTTTGTGACAGAGCAGGTCTACAGAGATTTAAACAGGTCTGGCCGGAGCGGTATCAGACAACACAATGGACATGAGGGTTATTACATATAAAGTAAAGATTCAGAAAGAAGAGGTGTGTGTGTGTGTGTGTGTGTGTGTGTGTGTGTGTGTGTGTGTGTGTGTGTGGATGTGTGTCTGTGTGTGAGACAGAGAGAGAAAGAGAGGGAGAGACAGCAAGCGAGAGGGGCACTCATTCACTCATTTACAACAACAGTGTTTGTGTGTGTGTCCTGCATATCAATAGGAAAGACATGGGGTCTCTATTGACAACTGAAAATCTCTCTCTCTCTCTCTCTCTCTCTCTATCTCCTGTCTCACCTCTCACACACACACACACACACACACACACAACACACACACACACACACACACACACACCACACACACACACACACAACACACACACACACATCACACACACACATAAACACACACACACACAGAGAGAGAGAGAGAGAGAGAGAGAGAGAGAGAGAGAGAGAGATGTGTATCCTGATGTGTTGTTCACGTCCAGTACACTACGTACTTGTTATAATAAAACAGTGGAAACTCCACAGGGATGGAGTCACATCCACAACATAATAATCATCACTGTTTTCTCTGCCTGCTACTCTTCTTCTAATCTCCTGCGCCCGTTGTTGCTGCTAAGCAGCACTCATCCTCTCTCTTCTTCTTGCATAACAAACTAGGTGGGTGTTTTCCCAGCAAGACATGGGATTAACAGTGTGAACGCAGAAGAAGACTGAGGAGCTAGAAGAAAACATGAGAAGGAGGAGGAAGAGGAGGAGGAGGAGGAGGAGGAGGAGAGGGAAATAAGAGAAGAATATCTTTGCATTTGTTTTTCTTAGCAGCACTCATGAGATGAAACGTCTGTATGAGTTAAAAAAAAGAAAAACGTCTGTGACTCAAATCAGAGGCTTTCGTTTCACTGACTTCAGATCTGAGTGTTCAGGAGGTTTGAGGCTGACTGTCAGTGGACAGACACTCAGCCTCAAACCTGTCCTCAGGACTTTAAGTACCACACTGAGGTTTTTATATCCTGCACCCTATTTTTTACAGAACACATAACCTGTTTTATATCAGCATTTTGCAAAGAAAGTCATACATTCGGAAAATGTCTCACTGTTTTTGCACCCGGTGATTTCAGTTGGTGTCAACATGCTTAAAGAAATCCATCACCGTGAGCAAGGTGATGGTGGGCAGCTCTGATATCTGAGAACTGAGAGGTTGTTGCGCTGTGTTGCATTCACAAGCTACAAGCTCTGCTGTTGGAAAAGCAGACTGAGGAAATGAAGACAAACTGGACATCATGATAAGGAAAATGGAAATTTTGTCATGTCTAACTTTGAAGTGTTTGCTGTTTGGCAGCGAGCCCTGAAGCCGCAGAGCACTTCAGCATGAGTGTTTGTAGATGGAGGGAACCTGCATTTACTTTGCTGAATTTAAAACAGAGCATATATGATACTGTCAGACAGTGTAAAATAATAATGAAAAATAATGGGGGGAAATTATATGTTAAAGGTTACAGTTACTAAAAGCAACTTTTCTAAAAAAAAAAAAAAAAAAAAATTCAAATTTTTTATTGCATTTGCTGAAATCTCATTACATTCTGACAGGTACCCGTGAGTCACGTTTTCTTGGGAAGAAAATTCGATCCGTCTGTCCTCACAGTGCACATTACTATTGTTAGGACAGAGGGTAAGGCAGTCAGTGGGCTTTGTGTGGCTTTGTGTGAAGTGTTGCAGTCACTGAGTCATTCCTCCAGCTGGAGAGTGGAGAGTGGTAATCAAGGCTCAGCTAAATTAGAACATTACACCTACACTGTGCTGAAATAGACCTGAGAATAAGAGGCAGAGAGAAAGAGGCGTGGGGACGGGAGAGAGACTCAAAGACGTGAGGTGAGAGGTAAAAGAAAACAGGGAAGAACAATTTACTCCAACGTATTTTACCCTTTTGTCAGAGACACCCACGTGTCTGGACAAGGACCTGGATTCTGTCAGCTAAAAACACAAAAACAGCTCAGTGAAAGCGTGGTTATAATCAGTCTTTCATCTTCATCCTCCATGTGTCTGATATGAAAAAGTTCAATAAATTACTAATGTTCTCGTGGGAGACAGTTTCTCTGTCAAGGCACTGTGACTTCACGGCTGCTGTCAAAGTGTGGTGTTATTTTGAGGGGTTATAGGTATTGTTTAACACTGCACTGATGATTCAAATTGAATCTAAACCTGAAGAAGCTACACAATTGAGCGTCTCCAGGAAATGTGGCATTTAATCTGTGAAAATATAAAAAATGAAAGACAGTTTATGTCAAGTAAAAAGCAAGAATCACCTCACCTCCCCACTATGATACTGTGAAATTATTTGGTAGAATTCAATTCAATAGAAAGTGTTCCAAATGTGGAAAATATGAAAGCTTGAAGACAGTTGTTTGAAATGTTAATTTGTCCATTTGGATAATGGTCTGGGATTGGTGCACCTCTTCACTTCAAAATCCAGGGTCGGATTTTGTCTGTTACATAAAACTAAATGGATGAATAATCATGCAGATTCATCTGGCGTGAAATGATTTGCTGGCAAATAAAGAGGAGAAAGTAACAATGAACCCTGTGTAGGTGTGTGGTGAATGAAGGAATTAGTATACTGCTCTGGATTTGTTACATAATGTATAACACCTTAGATTTAAATTAAAAAAAGTGTAATTTACATATGACGATATATAGTTATATAACATAGACAGCACATAACATAATGAAGCATATCACTCTTCAAGAGCTGAACAACAACCTGAATGAAGTTCCCCAGCTTAACTGACTTCATCCTGCTGCGTAGAAATGGCAACCAACTGCCTCTAACTGCAACTGGACGCTCGAGTAATCTAGTTAAAGAGATTAGCAGGGAGGTTATGTAGCAAGAGGACGGCAAAATAGACATAATCCCTATAGGTGTTTCCTCAATTGGCCCAGATTTGGTCCTTTTTCCGTTGGGATGAACCTGACAAATATTAGGTCAAAGAAAAACCCCTTTTTCCAAGAGAGTGGAAAGTCAACAGAAGACATTAAAGTAGGGACTGAATACAGACTGGTAACGATGTTCTGACAATCTTAGTGAAGTTACAAAGTTCTTTTTAAATTTCCATTGTCCTGGTCTGTCACCAGTGGTGGAAGTATTCAAGTCCTTTACTTGAGTGAAAGTAATAAATTCATGTAAAAAAAAAATCTGCAATAAGGAAAGTATCATGTACTGACAGTAAAATGTCCTCTCGGACTCTCATATGGTTATATATGATATTATAAAGTTATCAATAATTAGATGTTGTGCTAGTTTGAATTATATAGAGTTTAATAGTTAAGGCCAGTGTTTTATTTTTTATTGTATCTTGGCTGGAAAAGAAACGAAACCTGGACTAAATCAACCAACTAAAACTGTCAGACAAATGAAAAGAAACAGTCAATCACAACCCATCACAACCAGCAGAAGACTGAACTGTGGCATTATGCAGCCTTGAGTGACTCAAGTGACTTCACCATACTCTGTAATAGAAAATAAAATCTAAAAATCTGAAAAAAATTTTTTTTTGTGTATTACTGTTTTCAGAATCTTAGCTCAGCCTGTCCTTGTAACATTGGTACCATTCATCTTGTCTTTCATTACCGCTGAGAAAATAGAGAAGACAAAACCAGCAGAGTGGTGAACACAGCAGCACCACGGCAGAGGTAACTCAGAAAAGACAGAGTGGCTGGATGTGGACACATGCCTGCACTGACAGACGCTCACAAACACGGTGTGCATGTCTCCTATTGATCGCCGCAGTGTGTATGTGTTGTGCAGTTGTTCAGCCCACGCTCAGCCGCACACAGCTCACTTTGTCCAGCTCTCATTCACTTACCTACCCGTTACTATAGAGACACAGTGGAGAAGAATGCAGAAAGCAGGCTGGCAGATAGATATGCAAGAGACCTGGGTTGAATCTTAATAACGAAGAAGAGAAGGCTGACAACACTGCACTGGGAGGCTGTTACATAACACTGCTGCAGGATTCTGCCATGAAGTCAAACTGTAGGGACTGGGGGGGTGAGGGGGTGGGGGGGGACTAAAAGATATAACAAAAAAAGCTATTTTCTCCATCATGATGTGGTGTTTTTCCTCTGATTCCCTTACCTGTGTGACCTCAAAGATCACAATATGTAAAGCTTCCGCTCACAAGGAAGTGGAAAACTGTGGCTGTCAAACATATGGCAGTGAGTTTTAAATTCAAAGACAAATTTATATAAGATACTGTTTTATGCCTGCAGAAATCAAGAAAAAATACAATATGTACAGAGGCAATAGTAGTGGTATGCAACAATGTGAAATATTGTAAATCTATGAGTATGTGACAATTTGTGGTGATAATAGACTTAGTTTAGTTAAGGGCAGTGCTAATACTTAATGGGGCTGAAGTTTCAACTTTAAAATGGTTATTTTAGATCGATCAGAATGGTCCTGTTTGATGCTATCTTTCTTTATCATCAGACTGGCATTTGTTGGCAGTACATGAAATCAATGGAAATGTGTCTGTATGGCCCCCCTCTCCCTCTGTTTGTCTCATTTTGTTTTAATTCTCTGTGTCCCTGTTCCACTTTCTTTCCAATCTCACTACCTCTACCTACTTCTCAAACTGTTTCACTCCTGTTCCCTTTCTGTCACGTTTTCTTTTTTTTTTTTGTCAATTTTGTCTGCTTTCCTCCATTTTTGCTCTTAAAATAGATGCTGTATGTCCCTAAGACCAACACACACACACACACACACACACACAGAGAGAGAAAGAGAGAGAGAGAGAGAGAAAGAGAGAGAGAGAGAGAGAGAGGGAGGGAGGGAGGGAGGGGGGGAGACAGAGGGGGAGTCACAGACAGTTCTGAGACTGCAGCAGATTCTAACCAATCACATGAAGGAACTCTCCAGCCCATGTGGCTTATTCATAAAACCAGGAGGAAAATCCTTATCAATCCAGCTCCATTCTCTCATACAGTAAATCATCAACACACACATGTTCTACACTAGTGAAGCTTCTCAAACTTCATAATCAGATTTTTTTTTTTTTTTTTTGCAACTCAGGCATGGTATGATTTTATATACATAAATATTACATTTATTTTTTTTGCATATATCAGAAAATCATTATCAAATATGTAGCATGTGAGACCAGTTGAGCAGAAGAGTGCAAGCAGTTTCCTCCGTCAATTGCGAGGTTTTTACAGTTGACTTTCTTACTGTTTAGTTGTCTGTGTTCCCATTTCAGTATGTGGCCCCATTTGGAATACCCAGGACACACAGACAGGATACCAAAAATATCCTTTATATGTGTCAGCATGCTTCATTGTCCTCGTACACCACCGATAATTCAACTGCAATATGTTCTAGGATATAATGTAGCTGTTGTTACAGGTTAGGCATTTGCTTATCTATCCATAAACCTCCAAAAACTGTATATTTGTGTTAGTATATAGAGATTTGTCTCAGGAAAATCATCTGATGAAGAGCAGGGGTGCTCGAAATATCACTTTTTTTTTTTTTTTTTGGTGCATTAAATAAGTGTGTGAGACATGTGTTTGTTGTCTTTTTCGTTCCAGCCCCTGCCCTACTTTTGGCTTGGATGTGCGCGTACACCTTCAGGTTGTAGTTCCTCAGTAAACTTTTCCATGTAACGATACCTGATGGCAACCTATGAACCCATGATATCTCCTGAGTTTCAGGCTCATGGCAACCTCATGGCAAGCATATTCGTCATGGATTTATTTTGGTTGCATAACCAACGTGTCTCAAGGGCTCCCTTCAAAACAAGGATTAGTGGGTGGTATGAGTGGATAAGAGGCTGTCCATATTAATTACTGCTTCAGCAATCTGCGTTAGCACAAACGTGGGCCACAAGCATGTGTACTCACACGCTAAACAACATGCCATGGCTGAGACACACAAAAAAATTAAGTGTTAAATGATCAGGACGATACGAGAGAGACCAGAGATCTTACATAAGTTTGGATTTATTTCATCATGGTCACCATAAACAATCACTGCACTGACCTTTTATTAACATGTAGAGAGAGTGAATGCAACTGCGGTGCAAACACCACAGACAACATACACATCTAAATATTACTTTCCATAGCTGACATATAGGAAAAAAAAGAAAAGAAAAGAAAAAGAGCTATACAAAAGATCTAATTCACAGATGACCATCCTAGAGCAAGACTTGGTGACAGTAACTGCAAACTTTATGGCAAACACTCCAGCGCCTGAAGGGAAACACCACTGTGTTATACCACTGTGCAAAACATCAAAGGTTTGTTCACAGCTGTGCAAAAATAGCAGCATTATATTCAACTTTCCAAAAAATGAGTTTACAACACAACATCACAATGATCATTTAGACCGATCCTAATACTGAATACTAACTGTCACATTTGCCCCATAAGTTTGGTTTCAGCGTTGGAGTCAAATCACTTTTAGCTTATAGAAACTGCAATGACACGTGTGCAAATGATCGTGTTCTGTCGCTTATTGATGAGATGTTCACACTTAGTATTTACATGATGAAGAAACATCCGGAACTGTAGGAACTGAAAATGAATTGAATCCAGCAAACTGAGGCTCACAGCACATTTGAAAAAAAAAAAAAAAAAAAACAGGGCAAAAACACCATTTGACCATTAAGCTCTGTTTGTTTTTGTAATGCTTCAACTACGTCATATGCAGTGACCTTCCAAACAGGCAGAGGAAAATAGAAGAAACAGCAGATTTAACATGTGGGATATATACATGTAAACCATATAGTTTCAGGCCAAGAGAATTTTAAAGTTGGCACATGTGAGATTTTGAAAAAAAAAAAAAAAATCTCTTGAAAAACTGTACATTCAGTCCATTCAGTCTCTAGTTGACCTCTGCAATATGTTGCAAAGCAATATATCACAGCAGCCAACATGTATTGAAAAGCAATACACAACAGAGGCCTCGGGTTGATAATGTTGCTGTATGGCCGTCGATGGGACCATTTAGTGCAGTTTATCACATTCTAGGGGGGAAAAAAGACTCCCTTCACAAATTTCCCCTCATGTTCAACTTGAACCAATGGCCCACTTGCAGATTCAGTTCTACAGTATCACACTGGTAGGCAAAAAACAAGTTATTCTAATTCAAAGCTAGGTTGTTGTCATGACAAATTTGTTGTTGTTTTTTTTTTTAATCACACAAGAAGAGATAAAAACAGTTATATTCCAACCTGGTATTAAAATAGCCATACAAAGGCTTTAGCATGTTGCTTTTCTGCAGGAGGGACCTTTTAACATATAGTCAAGGTTTGCAGATAGAAACAAGCTTTTAACCAATGCTGCCCATAGAGATAGAGATATTTGCCCATAGAGAAATATCTACACTTACACCAAGTAATGTGTTTGTCCCCTTTAAAAAACATGCCCCTGATGTCTGTTGCTTGTCTAACAACTTAACTATCAGGTGGCTGAGAATTTAAAAAGCACAATATACTATATACCTCTGCTTACAAAGCTTAGGCTTATGTGCTGAAATTATACTGGGCTGACTCTGGTCCTCTAAGCCACACTTGGCTCTGTTGTGGAAAAGTGATTCAAGTAGAGGGGGGTGGGGGTGGGGGGGTAATGGCTGCACAGGTCAGCACCTCGGACAGCTCCGCCTCCTCACAAACACAGTTCTATTCTGGTCCTGCCTGGAACCTCACCTCACTGCGACACCTACTCTTACCCGGAAAGTAGGCTAATCATGAATGAATCGGGGGTTTGAGTGTCACTAACAATGTGATTTACACCACGAGCTCGATCCCTGTGTCACTCGAGGGACAAGACAAAAGAGGACAATATACCATTGGCATGCATTTATGAAATCTCCTACACTGTAGCCTAAACACCATACTGAAGTTGTTGATCACGAGAGAGATATTCAGCCCACAGGTGGGGAGCCTTCAACGTTGGCCCTTTCATTCAAAATCACCGTCATGTGACTTTGCAAAACATTCATCTTAATAATAAAACACCAGTGTCTTGTTCGTTCCCATGTCAGCGGTCCAGGTTTGAGTCGCTGGTGTCTCGTTGGTTTTTGAGATCCTGGAAGACCTCGGTGAAAAAGTGCGGGTCTGCGTTCAGCTGCAGCATTTTGGCACTCATCCTGTTGATGATCCGGAGAGAGGTCTCCCAGAAAACGTCCTTGTTCGACTCGATCATGAAGGGCTTGAGCGGGTAGGAGATCTCGTTGCCCATGTAGGAGTAGGCGAGGTAGAGGCAAGTCTGAAAGGTGCCCTGCAGCTCGGCCGGGCTGTCGACGCTGTCCGCTATGGTGTCTTCGCACAACAGGTACACGAACACCACGTTGGCCGGCGTGATGAAGCCTTGGTCCTGCCAGCCCTGGAGCAAAAGAGTCCGGTCGATGTTTCGGAACCAGAGGATCACCTCTCCGCTGTTCAGCTCTTTCAGTTTGAAACACCTGCGGCACATAAAGTCCCCCAAGCAGCGCAGCAGCTCTCCTGTTGAAGCCTGGATCACTATCCGCCTCGGCGACACCAGGGACAGGCTGCTGGGTTGCTTCTGGACCGTGGAGAGCCTCCCGTTTTGGACGACAGCCTCGTTGTTTTGCTTGGGCACCGTGGGCACCGGGACCGGGATGGGCGCTTTGGGTTTCTTCTCTTCGGTTTGGTGCGTTTTCCTGATGTTTTCGCTGTTGAGCTGAGCCACCTGGCTGGACGGGAGCTCGCGGGTGGGCAGCGGGTTCGGGGTCACTTTCTTGGCACTCTTCTTGGCCGAATTGGCCACCAGCTTCTTCCAGGACAGAGAGACGAACATCGAGTGCCGCTTGAGGCTTTTGTCGTTTTTGAGTCCATCTCCCGCGACTTCACCGTCCATAATAGAAGCCTTCTTGGACGCGGGAGATATAGAAAGGACGGTTCCCATGTCTGCTAAGGGAGAGAGCCGCGGTGGTGTGGATGCTGCTGCGACTTCAACGCAGGATCTTCTGCAGATTGAGAGGCGGTGGAGAACAGTCACGACGACGATTGAAACTCCATTTACGCGTTTATTTCCTCCGTGTGATCGCGCCTCGCCGGTGCTGAGGGATGCTGGAGCTGCTGCTCGGAGTGGAGTTGTATTCCAACAGATGCTCCGTCAGTCCCTCCGGGGACGCTGCGACACAGTCCACAGGCTGGAGACTAAACCAAGATAAGTCGCGCTGCGTAATTCATGGGTTTAAACGAACCAGCAAGTGCAGCCCCTGACTGACAGCCGAGCCAGCCAATGAAAGAGCCGATCAATGATCCAATCACCAGGGATGTTGCTTTTAGATCTACGTTCCCATTAATAGCCTATTTGCAGGTAACACTCACCTGAAAGGTTCAGGTGCTATTCTTCAACACTAGTCTAGTTACTTTGGGAAAGCAGTGCTATCTCCGTTTTCAGAAATAGCCTAACATTTATGAATGATGTGATACACAAAGCCTATTCACTGACCTTATCACCAGCCTGTAGACCAGGAAATAACAAAACACTGTTTTGGTCCTGCTGTGACAAACATGGCAGCAATTGATTAAACTAAAAAAATGCCCTGCTACTGCTTTTGTTTACATATTGAAACATAGCTGTCACATATTATTCATACCCCCCCAAAAAAGCTCCAAAGCACAAACAAGTAAAAGAAAGAGAAAACTATCCTCCACCTCATCTAAATCATCATATTAAGCAATGGAGTCAAGAACAGAGTTACTAAACTGCTCCTCAAAACTGTTTTCAAAACGTTTGAAACCACATGAACACATTGTTCTTCCCCCAGTAGTTCATACAAGAATGTTCCCTGAAGAGTTGCTGGAAAGAAATCTGTACAGAGTGTTTGTGCCAACGCTGGGTGAACTAAATTTAAAATGTTTTGCAGAAGCTGAGCGAAGCATAATGTTCTTGATGCCAGGCAGTTTCAGTCGTGTTTTAAAAGACAGAGCATCACCTGCACTTGTTTTACTTGAAATACACTGACTGGCCATGTGTCCCTTAAGTTGTAATCTTCTTCTCTTGATCTTTGAAATGTTAAAGTCCTGCTGTATGATCACTGGATGGGTCACAAAACAATGAGTTTTCAGATCAGCTCTGTCAAGTTATTTCATGCCGGATTGCATGCACACTTAAATACCTCTTATTATTATTATTATTATTATCATTACTGGAGCCATAAAAAAGTGTTTTGATCTGCTTTCCTTCAGTGGTGGTTCTGTGTAGTAGGACACATTAAGGAGTGCATAGCATGTCTCAGGAAACTACATAGGTAATCCAATTAGAACTGGCACTCCTTCACTAGGTTACATGACTAGCCTACTGTCTGATCTTTCCACTCAACATGACATGGAAACAGATACAAATAGCACTGAAAGTCTAACACCAGCTGCTTGTAATCGTCCATAGACCCGACGGTAAGATATTCCATTCTGACTGTTATTTATGAAGTGAAGGTGTGAAGAATTTTCAGATAAATGAGAGATATTCATGACCTTTTTATTGCCTTTCTTTTCTTCAGTGTTATGTGGAATTTGAGTTCCTGGTATTGTCCACTTGTATTTGGTCTCATGTCATTTTGGATAGTGAACAGTGATAAACTGTGTGAATGTATTGAGGTCAGCGCAACAGCACAGTTAACATACAGGTTAATGTGATATAAAATCCTGTAGCAATTAACCCACAAAGTGTAATTAAAAGGTAAGAAAGGATCCAACAAACTATTCAAAGACTCTATACTCAGATGAGTACTTACAATACAAATGTATTAGATAAAATAGGTCTAGGTGCAAAGAGGACAAGTACGGATATCGAAATAAAGTTAAATTGTTGTCCTTTCCTAGTTAGACTAACGTAGAAGAGGTCGGAGGTGATGGCTGATCACGTGTCTTGGAAATTTAGCTTTTTCTTTCTATATTACAAGTAACACATGATAAAAATATGTCAAGTAATTTGCATATTCTTCCACATTTGCAACTTCCCCTCCACCCATCATTGTCATCACCTTCACAAATCATCACCATCATCACTGATACCACAACAGACCAACAGCATACTCTAATTATCAGCACCACTATCATCGCTGCATAATAATAACAGCAATCAAACTGAGTTTTGCGCATCAGCCGTCGTCAATAAAACATCTGACACACCTGTTGAAACTGTCAACCAAACCAAAACAACTGCGTGGAGATAAAAGACTGAAGTAAGAAGGCGATTCAAGCCAAACTTCCTAAAACTGCAGAGTGCTCCCCAATTCACACCAACTCTTTTGATCATGCCAACGTTTGATCCAGCACATCATAAATCAGATGGCGATCAAAGGAAATACTTTCATCACGAATCAAACAAAACGCAACAGGATGTAACAGAGGAATAATCTCAATGTATTAGACATGAAGGACAAAGCTTTTCAGGCTCTATAATATATCATTATGTAGATACCAAAGAAAATAAATGTTTGAAAATCACAGGACTGGGATTAGAGGAAGAGAGCAATCAGGTGAGGGACGTTTTTTTGTTTTTCCTTAATTCTTTGTCATTTGTGCTTCACTTTTAACACATTTTATTATATATTATATAATTCAGCAAATTTGGAGGTTAATTAAGTGCCTCATACAGTAAATGTTTCAAATATGAAATGCACTGTATTGTATTGGCCCAAAAAAAAAAAAAAGAAAAAAAGGAAAAAAGAAAAAGAGTTAAAGTTGGAACTTGGAACCATAAATTTTAAGTACAATCAAAGTTAACAGTTTCTTTTGGGCCACTAGAGGGCAGCAGCTGTAAATGTAACACTGGCATATTATCATGTTTGAAATTCATGAACAACATTAGAATTCATTTGTAGTTGTGTTTCCGACCTCTTGATGAGTCTAAGCTCCTTTTAGCTCTGTGTTGGTCTCTACCAAGTCCTGATGAGTTTATGCTCCGCTATTATCAGCAGGTTGTCGTTAAGCCTTTCTGTCTGCAGTATGGTTAAGGACAGGTAGTGTATAGTTTGTGGGTAGGAAAACCAAAAGAATGATGCAAAATAGACCAATAGCTCTGTAGAGCTGAGGGGAACAGCAGATATTATTCTCAGGTAATATTCTCTGTGGTTTTGTAACTATGAGTTACCACTTACACACAGCCATTTGATCTATGGTTTTTATAAGAATGCACTGTTTAGTGCAGCTTGAAGTCACACCAAACTAAAATGAAAACACGCCATACACTATAATGCTGTATGAAACCTCTACAAAAGAGGCCGTGTCATTTTAACATGTAAGACAAAAGACAAAATGCAAAAACCTTGTAGAATATAAATGCAATTTTCTGCTCAAAGCAATTACAGACCTGTGAACTTTACGTGAGTTACTTTAGTCATTTCTTTCTGATAAAGATATAAAAATAAGTGGTACGATATAGCAACCAGTAGCAAGCCCACTGTTGTGTGCTTATGTTACGAAAATGGACACAATTTGCAGTTAAGTTGAGTTCGGATTTCTGCGGAAAGGTGATGGATTTGGGGGACACCATGTCACATTACAACAAAATCATCTGTGAATTATAGAACAGCAAAGGTAACAGTAACAGTAAAAGGGTTTGACTGCACATTTAGGGCAGATTCTCATAAGAGAACTTGAAGATGAAGATATGTAAGTGAAAAAAATCTAATTGTCCTTGAGGTCATGATTGATTGATATTATTGAGGAAGTTCAGTTGCAGCACTTTATGGCAGATTTTTGCTCAGGTCTAAGTGACAGAGGAGGAGTGACAATAGCAGGAGAACAGGAGCGGGAGGTATGGAGACAGGTTTGTCATGCAGTGACAGAAAAGGAGGAGACGGGGGGGAGGAAGACAGAAGCATCAAGCTTTATGTTGCAAAATACCAAACACAAATGAAAGGAAGAAGAACAAAATATCATCAAAAAATCTCAGCCTCTCTTTGCGTGTTCTGACTTTTTCAAGATGCTTTTTCAAGAGAGGACACAAGTTTCTGTGTGTCTGTTTCCTGGGGTAAGTTTGCCTCCTGGTGGTGTTTTAGTGCAACTATGGCAGCTGCAACAACGTGCATTGTCTTCTGCATCCGTTTTTATGTATTTGAAGTTGGTCTGAGCAAATATTTCATTCTCAAATCACTGCACTTTCTGTCAATGTGTCACAAAGTTGGGACACATTGTTAGAACCCTAAATTTAAAATGTACCAGCGTGAACCATCATAATGGCATGTTTGAAGTCATCTTTCCTCTATTTAAAAAGCATCTTAGCAGAGTTAGAATTATGCAATACAGATATCCCATTTCTTTATTTATTTATTTTATTTTCAGAAAAATAAATGTCATCTGTGGAGAGGATTCACACTCCATGTTCTTTTTCTTGTTTCTGAGCAGCAGCCTTGCACTGAAAGTTGAAGAAGTTGAAAAGTGCCCAGAGATTTTCAAAGGTGGTCCTTGAAAGCTGAAATACCTTGCACACATGCGATACTTTCAGTCCAATTTTACCTTCTCAATTCAGACTGTTTTTGCCTTTCATGGAAGCCTGGAAGCTGAATGATGTCTTTTCAAACAGCCAGTACCGTCAATCTGTAAATTTGGGGTGAACAAGTAACAAGTTGACCACTGGAGAGCAGTCACATCCAGTCGACTGCAAATCAACCCAGACTGCGTGGAAATATTTGTCATGAAGGGCTTTCTGGTGACATTTCCTGTCAGCAGGCGTCTTCGCCACCTCGTCCTGACATTTAATTAGTTTTAGTGAAACTGTGGGACGACGTATCAGGCAGAACGACTGAAGAGAGGAGGAGTGAAGGGTTCCGAGACTAATATTAGCTTTAGTGACAGAATTCTCCCGTCAACCATCTGAGGCTCTGCCAACGGGCCAGTGGGAGTGAGCAGGGAGACGGAGGGTGGAGGAGGAGGCTTAAAGCACTTACAGGAGAAAGATACTGCAACACTTTAAAACTGGCCTGTACTTTAATGTGAGACAAGTTTGATAAATATTATAAAACTGTCATTCTAATTACACCTATTTTCAAGCCAATGCTTATTTAGTTAGAAATAACTGACTCACTTTATCACAAAGTTTTGACATCATTCTCTTTATCCACCGTATTTATATGTGTACACATAATGTAATATGGCCTGTGTGTTAAAGATGAAGAGTAAAAATAATCTAAACACTGTT